AAGTAAAGGTGCTGCTTATGATTATCTTATTAAACTTTTATTAATAGGAGATTCGGGTAAATAAATAAAAAGTAAAGTAAATAAAAATAATATTTTAATGTGTACAACAATTTTACAACTATTTAAATATTAATATTAATATATTAATATTTATATATACATACATATATATATATATATATAGGAGTAGGGAAGAGTTGCCTCTTGCTTCGTTTTTCAGATGATTCATTTACACCTTCGTTTATTACTACAATTGGTATCGACTTTAAGATTAGAACAATCGAATTAGATGGAAAGCGAATCAAACTTCAAATTTGGGATACTGCTGGTCAAGAACGTTTTCGTACAATCACCACAGGTAACTTATTAATGATTTTGGAATTGAAGTCGTAAGAGAGGAGAATTTTAATTATTAATGTTATCATGTTAATATTAATGATTATTTATTTATTTAGCCTATTATCGTGGAGCAATGGGAATACTTTTGGTGTATGATGTAACGAATGAGCGTTCTTTTAACAGTATCCTTAACCAATCCCAATCAATATTCATTGATCATATATAAATAATGATGATAATAATAATATAATGTGGTTATCTATTTCTACACACGTGTACAATGATTTCAGATATAAGGAATTGGTTTTCAAATATAGAACAACATGCAAGTGAAGGAGTTAACAAGATTCTTATTGGTAATAAATGTGATTGGGCTGAAAAAAGAGAAATTAAGAAAGAACAAGGTCAAGAACTTGCCGATGAATTAGGGATTGATTTTTTGGAAACTAGTGCTAAATCTAGCATCAATGTGGAAGAGGCTTTCTTCACTTTAGCGAGGTAAAATTTTGGAATGAATGAGCGAGAAGACTTTTTTTAATTTATTTCTAATTGATTAATTTTCTACATGACTACTTATTTAGAGCTATCAAGAAAAGACTTATTGATGCACACGCTCAAGAACAACAAAATCATCAAAACAAACGACTTGAATTGGATAATAACAGGCATCTTAAATCTAGTTCTGGATCAAGTTGTTGTGGTTAATATTGATAAATGTATACAATTAATAATAATAATAATAATAATCTTAGACTTAATATTTATTGTTATATTGTAATCAGATTTGATATTGTAATTGTAATTGTAATAAATCAAGCTATTAATTTAATTCCTAAGCATATAAATTTAATCTTTTGAATTCTA